TTTTTTTTCTTTTCTCTTTGTTAAAAAAAAAATTCCTTTTTTATTTCTTTTTCCTCTTGTATATTTTCTATAGGAGGGGGTGACACAATTTGGATTTATAGTTGTGACTGTGAAGGTGATCTGCAGGTGCTAATCCTATCAGAAATTTGGGATCTTAATTCCATTCTTTAGGGAAACAATATATCACCCCATAAATCGTATCTAGAGGCTTTGGCTAAAGACAAGTGAGCTGGGTCAGAGAAATTTATACTTTGCATGTATTCTCGTGCGTGTAATAGTTCTTTATGATTTAATAAATAAATGACACCAACCTGATTACGGGATTAAAAAAAAAAAATGTTTACTTAAAATCTATAATAAAAAACTTTAAAACAAATTATTATTAAACTAAAAATTAAGAAACTATAATTATATAATTAATTATTTAATTAATTATTTTTTATTTAATAAAAATATAAATAAAAATATATTAATACTAGTTAAAATTTGATTATTCAGCAGTATGCCACTTGTCAATTATTTGGCATATGATAAATAATTCATCAAGCATTTGTCAATAATTTAGCAATAATTCAGCATATTCAATTTGACAATAATTGCTGAATTGTTAATGAATACTTAACGAATTATTTATTATATGTCAAATAATTAATGAGTAGTATATTATCAAATAATTGAATTTCAACTAGTATAATTTGTATTATAATTTTTTTAAATTTTTTTGAATAAAAAAAAAATCATGTTTTTACTTTTTTTTAACTAAAAAAACAAAAATCAAATTTAATAAATAGTGAAAAAGATTTGACCACTGCACAAAAAAGGTCATTATCTATAGTTATCTTAAAAAAGACTTGTATTATACTATTGCTGTTAATGTTAGTTATAAGAAATTTTCTGTGAGAAATATTATAGGTAAATATTATAAGGCAGGAATCACTAAACTATAAAGAAAACATTCTAGACATTTACTGCTTCTTATTGCTTCTGATCATTTTATTATTAAAACTCTTATAACTAATGAAAATTGTTATTTAAATGTCATTCAAGTTGTCACTACTTTCACTGCTCAAATCAAACTTCATGTCTTAAAAATATTATTTGTCACATCTTAAAAAAAGGTCTTGTATTGTATATCTGAAACTACTAATTTTCACTATTAATATATTAAACAGGTTTATTTAATGTTTTGCTTACAAGAACTGGACCATCCAACATTTCAGATATATTTTTTGATTAGATAAAACATCTATTTAACTTTTTTAATAAGTTTTTTTTCAGATTTGATATGAACTATATGAGAAATAAAATGCTAAATACTTAAGTTATACTATTAAACAAAACCCTAGTCATATATTTTGGAGCTGTTTTTTTTGACACAGAACTAGCTCTTTAGTTTCATTAGTTAATAATATTATTAGAGTTTCATATATTAAAATTTTGTGCAAATATGTTATATTCACCTTAAAAAAAATATCTGAAAAATACAGATTGGAATCATCTTTTATTTCAGCAAGACAATATGAGACCTTACATTTTAAAAATCATCATTACATTTTTTAAAGATTATAAGATCAGAATATTAGACTGGCTTGCCTAGAACCCTGATCTGAATTCTGTCAAAAACCTTTGGCATGAGATCAAGATATCAATATATTGCAAACTAAAGTCTAGTAACCTTGCTGATCTCAAAATTTTCATTAAACAAGCTTGGCAAGATGTTTTATTAAAAATTTGCTATTGATTAGTGGATAGTATGCTGAATTTTATTGCAACTTGCATTGCTGCTGACAGAGATTCTAAAAAATACCAAGGCTTAATATTAGCTTGAATTTTTTTTAAAAAAATATATTAGCTTTGAGTTTTTTTTTTTAAAAAAGATTTTCATTCAATTTGTAATTTCAGTTTGATTGTAATTTATAGTACAAAGGTTTTTTGATTATAAATTTCAAGTGAATCATTACAATCATATGAAATTTAAATATAATATACTTTAATATATTATAAAAATATTTATTTAATATAATAAAAAATTTTTTTGCTTATTAATTTATTTTATTGTATAATAAAAAATGTCCACAATAATATGGATACCCTCTATACATTTATTATTAATATTTAACAAATAATTAATAATTAATTCTTATTTTTTGCTTGTGGATTTAAAGTTATTATATATTATCTGTATTTTTAACAAATTATTATAATTTATTTGATATACAAATTATTAATATAATTAGTAAAAACAAAAGTTTAATAAAATCTCGTATCTAATATTTGCCAAATAATAATAATAATAATAATAAATTTCTCTTGTTAAATTTTTATAATATGAAATTATTATTTAAATATAAACAATATTAAATAATTTAGTTTAAATCAATATAATGTACAATAAATTATTTAGAATTCGTAGATCTTTTTTTTCAAGTTATCGTTTACTAATAATTGTATTTGAAAAATATACTATTATTTGACAAATACTAAGTATTTATAGGGAAATATACAGTGTATTCTTAACTAGCAGGATCTTGTCAACATTCGGAAAAAAGCATATATTTTGCTTATTATATTGTATTACAATAACACTAAATATAGAATAATCCGAAAAATATCAAATCAATAATTCTAATTTCAAATTTAAAAAGAATATATACAATTTCCTGGAAATATATACTGAAACTTTTATGCTAGATTCATAATCGACTTTCAGCCAACCTGCTATTCGCAAACACTTTCCTATTTCCAAGTTGTCTATCGCAAGTAAGAGAATTATAACGGATTTCGGCGTGGTATATTTCATTATTATCAACGAAAAGAACATTTTTACATTTCGATATCTCCCATAACATATTCTTCATACGACATTGCGCTGGATATATTATTTGATTAGAATAGACCAATGTAAAGAGAGAGAGAGAGAGAGAGAGAAAAACAATGAACAAATTAGGAAAATTCTCACCCCCCATAAATATAACCATCAACACATCTCTGTATCCCAGCGCATCACCCCCATCTTGAAAAATAACAAAAGAATGTGCGCAAATGCATTGCTTATGAGCTTATGCATTTGTGCACATCCTCAAATATTTCGAATTATCACACTTACTTTAAATCGCCCTCCGAGTCCATAGGTTCATCTTCTTGTAAGGGAGCGTTGATGCTAAAAAGGATTCACATGTGAGTAGGAGACCGGAAAAGAAAAGAAAAGAAATAATAATAATAATAATAATTACCTCAAACATCTAACTGTAAAAAATAAGATCCTTTTTAACTTCTTGTTGCTAAAAAAGAAATTAAAGGACCATCTAGAAAAAACAAACAGATATCATTTGAGATGAGCTTGTATGTACAGAGGCCCATTCAAGATAAAACGAGTGATCTGAAATTAACAGAAATAATTCTACAAAAAGGAGGAATCATACAAGTGGTTAAAATTGGTCACTTGTGTACATACATCGCACCATCTTCAGCATTTGGGTCGGAATCGTTATCCGGATTGAACGAATAAACACTACATTCGTTCAATTCAACGATATCATCGATTACTTGCCATAGATTTAAATCATTTACTATATAAGAGTGACCAAGGTTGAAGAGGGTGTTGTTTATGTAATTGCACACCATGGGAACAGATGGTTGTTTAGTGAATTGATCTGGTTTGACGTCCCTAGATAATTGAAACACCTTAGAAATCGAGGTCTAATTTACTGACGGTAGAAAGAAAGATACGAACGAAAAATCATAATCTGGGTAGGATGCATTCAAGGTTGCGATCAAGTTGAATAAGGTCCGGCGAGAAGATGGTTGATCCATGGAACCAAAAGGGGATACTATGTTGTAGAAACTATGTTGATCGGGAGACACACTAAGAGACTGAGAGACATCTGCATTCCATCGACTCTCAAGATGTTTATAGAGTTTCTTGTCAACGCCAGCAAGTTTACCTAAATCGTGTAGCAGAAAAAGACAAGAGCGTTGGTTTTTTAGTATCAATTAACGTATTGTCGGAAAAAGCCTTGCCTAAAATTACTCACGAACAAAGAATTCAATACAAATACATATGTGTTGTATTATCTAACCAACGCTCAACTAATTTTGAGAAAATTCTTCAAGAAACTTACAAGAGTACGTCTCTATTCGACCCACGACCCTGCACTCGGGATTCTCAAATACCAAAGCGGTATTTATAGGGTCAAGCGAAGCAATATCAAGAAATTTCATTTTCTTTATGTGCTCTGAAGAGGGTTTTGTTGTTAGAGAGAAACTGACTAGTAAAAACTTTCAATTTTGTTTCGGTGCGAAAAAAAGGTAGAAATATTATTTAATCAATAAAGCGGGTGGGAAGTTTTTGTTTTTATCATATGATGTTTCGACATTCCCATTTGCATATTTTAGTAATTAGTACGCGAAGATCTTTTGCGTTTTTGGTCAACTCTAAATTTGTGTACTCACTATATATTGATACATAAGATAACAAGTACGCGTTGCATTTTGAAGTCATTACGTCATTATAACAAAAACCAGGAGGCTTCACCTCGATATTCCATTCGAATACATGAAGCAAAAATTAATAATATCGATATAGTGGTCAACCGAATTAAGTCAAATTAACATACGTATGTATATAAAAAAGTATTAAATTTTCAAGTACAGAAACCATCGTTTATTGTGTTATGTGTGTTATGGTGCGAGCGCGTCACATCAAATTTGCGTCACATCATTACTATTTAAATAATTTTCAAACCGTAAAATCGTCATTGTATTCGGAAAAGTCCTTAGTAACATTATACAATAAGACAAGTAAATTAAAAATCCGAATTATTTTTAACTTAGCTTAAAATAATATAAGGATAAACATTTTTTTTTTTATTCTGCAATATTAAAATTATACTGGTAATGATAAATTTTAAAGAATGACCAGAAAAAAAAATATCAAAAAATATTTTCGGATTAATACATTGTATACGTATATTTATGTTAAGGAAAATACTTGTTAAAATATATCCAAGTCTTTTGACCCTCGTTCTGATCTAAAGCCTCATTCGTGTATGCACATACTGGATTGTTTTAACGTACAAGATTAACTGCCTGCCTTTTAGTGGCCAGACGCACAAGCATATTTGTTTAACCCGTGGATGCCCAACGACCAGCTACTTCTTCATGAACCAATAAAGAAATCTATGGCTTGTTCATAACTCCATTTGTATATTTTGAGGCTTAAAACACATCACAAAATAAGTTTATCGGGAAAAAAAAGTCAATGACTCAAGTTCAAACTCCATTCATTGCATTCTCCGCAATTAGAATCCTGTAAGATTCTGGATTGTGGAGAATTGAATGATAACGTGCCATTTTAATATACGTTATCTTATACATACAAGCGCATGATACCTGATTTATCATCCAATAAACTTTTTAAATAGGCATGTATGATATGTTCGAGCTTTGCGTTTGCTCAGCGCCTTTTCTTATTATTTACAAATTTTTATATTAGTTTTAAGTAAAAATGTCAGAGATTGGGAGTGAAAAATTCAAGTGTACATGGACACCAAATACTACTTTACACGATCCTCATAATCATGAAGAGCTGTATGTTTCAACTAAATTGTCATGATCATTTGAGAATATCTTGATCTTGTAAGGTTAAATAATTTTATTTTTAATTGCATGTGCATTCAAAAAAATAAAAAAAAAAAAGCAAGCCCGAACCACCAATTATCAATTCAATTCTCGATCACATTGGAAACACACCACTCGTAAGAATAAACAATATTACCAAAGCCGAAGGGATCGAATGTGAGATATGTAAGTCATGCGAATAAACTTAGTTTGTAGCATAAGAGTTCTATTCCATTAATAATTGGTCGCTATTTTTTATTGAATTCCAGTGGCGAAATGTGAATTTTTTAATGCCGGAGGTTCGGTAAAGGACAG